ACTGCCTAGAAAATGATAAATTGTGGTAGCTATTAACTTGCCACCTTTAACCATATGAACTAGATTTGTGGTTATATAAAACAATCTAAAACAAACCAGAAATTTATACACAGTAAATAAGCCCCCAGTGTGGCATTTTACCCTCAGAGGAGAAACTTTAAAAAGGAATAGGGGAAAAATAGAGAAACAGAAAAAAAAGAAGAGATTAGAAGCAAGGCTGGAGGATGAAGGAGGATCTCCCAAACTTTGGGAAACTGGTACAGAAGATGGGCAAAATAGAGAAGGAAGAAATAAAAACAAAAACAGAACAACAAACAAGCTAGAACCATCTTCACACTCACAGAAACAAGAACAAACAATGAGGAAAAAACAAAAACAAAAAATGAGAGAGAAATAAAGAAGAAGAAAATAAGAAAAAAATATCCACTACAAAGTGTGTCTCTGGTGCCACTAGTAGACAGCAATTAACAAAGGTGAATTAGCTTAACCATGGGCAGAGTCCAGATCCATGCGGATCAATCCTCGCAAGCCCCGCAGCAGCTCCACAGCGGGGCAGAGCATAATCGCAGTGAGCCTGCGCCGCATTTCGCTGAAGTTCAGGTTGGCCTCTGGCTGGGTCCTGAGAGCACTTGGTCCCTCTCCAGGTGCCTCCCAGCCAGCTGCCCTCTCTTTCAGGCTGACGGTCTGGGACAAGTCAGCAGACACAGCACAGTGCTCCATCCGCCGCACACTGCACTTGTGTGCTTCTCCGTGGAAGCTTCTGGGATCGCCGGCCGTTACCCTGTGTCTGCAGTTTCAAGCTGCACCCCCAGAGTCCAGGCTGAAGGAGAAAATGCCACCTGTGTCTTCCTCCTCCCTGGAAGTTTTGCTCTTCGCTCTACCCATGTGCTTCAATTCTTACTTCAGATCCTTCCTGGATCCCAGGGACCCACTTTCCTCCTTCTCTTCCTCATGTTGCTATATTCCAGTGTTTGGACACCAAATCTCAGAGAGGCTCTTTCTCTGCTGCTCACCACTCTGCCATATTCCTGGAAATCCCATGATGGATACTAGCAAAGTTTCTTTTTCAAGTGATGGAAATGTTCTAAAGTTGATTGAGGTCCTTCCGAGCCTGTGTTTCGAGGCTCCCAGCTGCCATGAGCTTCCTCAAAAGTTTTCCGCCGCCGGGGTCCGCCGAGGGGCTCCGGCACCAGCAGCCAGATACCGAGGCTGTGCTGAACGGGAAGGACCTCGGCACTGGCACCCTTTACATCTCTGACAGCCGCCTGTCTTGGCTAGATGGTTCCGGATTAAGATTCGCACTGGAATACCCCACCATTAGTTCACATGCTGTGTCCAGGGACCTAGATGCTTATCCACGAGAGCATTTGTATGTTGTGGTGAATGCTAAATTTGGAGAAGAAATAAAAGAATCTCTTGCTGATGAAGAAGAGGAAGATAGTGATGGTGATGTTGAACCTATTACTGAATTTAGATTTGTGCCCAGTGATAAATCAGCATTGGAGGCGATGTTCACTACAATGTGTGAATGCCAGGCCTTGCACCCAGACCCTGAGGATGAAGACTCAGGTGATTATGATGGAGAAGAGTGTGCCGTGGAAGCGCACGAACAAGGACAGGGGGCTAGCCCCACATTTTATACCTGTGAAGAAGGATTATCCCATTTAACAGCAGAAGGGCAAGCCACATTGGAGAGATTAGAAGGAATGCTTTCGCAGTCCGTGAGCAGCCAGTATAACATGGCTGGGGTGCGGACAGAAGGTTCAGTAAGAGATTATGAAGACGGCGTGGAAGTAGATACTACACCAACAGTTGCAGGACAGTTTGAGGACGCAGGTGTGGATCACTAAAAATGATGTATGTTGCTTTAAGATTCTGCTCGTAACTGTAGGAGAGAACTTAGTGCCTCTTCCCTCTGAAGAGAGGTTGATGAAAGTCTTTTTCCTTCTCCAGAACTCACTTAAACCAGTTCTTCCTCAAGATAAGCTATACGGAGAAAGCAAGTTGTCACCAGCAGAAGAAACTATGACCTTTATTAACAAAGGTGAATTAGCTTAACCAAGGGGGTATTTATAGTTTATGTTTCACTCTCAAACTTTGTATCTAGGTACCCACTGACCAGGCCACAATTCCTGCCTTCCCTGTATGCACTGTCCTTACACTAGCAGGAACTGAGCAGGAAACAGGCTGAAGTTAAGATTTTTGCGGGGAGCGGGGGATGCAGGTCTTTGGGGTCTAGAGATGTCCTTATCCCTAAAAGAAAAGGCAGAGGACTCAGAAGGATCAGTCTTGTCACTCTCCACAGCGCAAGAGTCCCACTAATTTGGGGCCGAGATTAATTCAGACCTCTCTAGGTGGTCTCTCGGGAAACATGCCAGTTGCAAATCCTACCACTAAGTGCTTCTGGGTAGCTTCTGTCCTTCCACCCTATTTTTCCAATCAGCTTTGTTCTAGCCTCGTAGGTTGTATCCTTTAATTTCTACCTTCTTAGGTTAGTTTTCTGTAACAGAACAACTGAACTGGGATGAAGTCCTTTTTTTTTTTTTCTTTTTTTTGGCTTTTCTCCGGTACCGGGAACCGAACTCATGACCTTGCGCTTGCCAGGCAGGCGCTTTTGCCGCTGAGCTAAATCCCCAGCCCCTGGGATGAAGTCCTTAAATTACTCCTGATGGTAATTGTTTTGTCTTTGTAATAGCTTAACAAATAAATCTAGGTTTTCTATATTAAAAAAAAAATAAGTTGATTGGGGTAATAGTTGTGTAAGTCTGCGAATATACCAAAATCCATTGAATTATACAACTGAAAAACTGAAATAGACAAGTTGTATGGAATTAAATCTCTAAAATTATTACAGAACATCAGAGAGCACATGGCTGGGGAGCTATACACATTCACACTACATTTGTTCACATTAAAATTCTGGAGGGATAGCAGGTGGGTACAGATGTTGGGAAGCTGGACTTAGGTTGAGACTGGAGGTCCAGCCTCCTGGCCTCATTAGCATAGAAGCTCATTCTACAGCAAGCTGCCTTATTCACTTAGTCCAGTTGCTAAGTGCGGTAGTTCAAGGAGGGTAAGTGGGGCACCTTCAGCTTTAGTACCACTCCATTTTCAGAGGTGACACAGCTGAGAACTGACCTCCTTCTCTGGCATCCAAGACCACATCCTATTGAGACTGGTGGATCTCTTTCCAAAACTTCAGCCATAACAGTGTGCACTTCCTGTAATAAAATGATTTACCATAAGCGGTTATAATAACATCCCTTAAGTAATTTGCAAAGTATCTTGAGATACGAATACTTGAAAAGTATCTTGCTTGAAAGTACTTCAAAATACTTGAAAATACTTGCAAAGTATCTTGAATACGAAAATAAGATTTTGTTAATTTTAAATAAGTAGTTCTAAAATAACTTACAGTCTAAGTGGATTTGGAATTAGTGTGCTTCTTCACTTAGAGTGGATCAAGCCAGGCGTGGTGACGCATGCCTGTAATCCCAGTGTGGGAGACTGATGCAGGAGGATCATCTGTGAGTTCAAGGCCAGCCTGGGATACATTGTGAGTTCAAGGCCAGCCTGAACTAATAGTGAGACCCTGTGTCAAACAAACAAACAAGAGAGCTTGCATGAAGTCATTAAAACCAAACTACCCACACAAGTCATTGTAATCACTTTTTTTTTTTGTTTTGAGACACAGTCTCGCTGTGCAGTTCAGGCTGGTCTTCAGCTCACTTTGTAGCCCAGGCTGGTCTCGAACTTGCAACAATTGTCCTGCCTCAGCCTCTCGAGTAAAATGTAAATTTTTTTAGATGTGAAATGATGAAACAAACAAAGCATCTTAGGATGCTTGACATTCTAGTAAGATCTAGTAGTCTTTATTTTATTTTATTTTATTTTTGGTCCTGGGACTCAAACTCAGGACTTCATGCATGCCAGGCAGGCGTTGTGCCACTGAGCTAAATCCCAGGCTCTTGTAGTCACTTTGTACCCCCACTGTTTCACCCTTTTCATATGCCTTCCTGCCCACCGCCAACATTACCTGGTAGTGAATGGGAATTCCACACTCAGAGTAATGACAGTAGAAAGGAAGAAAAAAAATTAAATGATTCTATCAGCTGCTTTAATACCCCTTGACCGGCTCAGGGTTTTCATTTGGTAGTCTTAAGTCCTGACCTTACACCTATAAAATACATGCCTAAAAAAATAAGAACAAAAACACCAATGGTATGTGCCATTTTAATTTGTGTTAATAAAACTAAATAAAATTTAAATACCAGCTTTGTTCTTTCATCTAATTTTATTATGTACTGGAGAAGTGATTTTTTTATAAGAGGACTTAGGTCAGAACTAAGTTCAGGCTGGGTGTGGTGGCACATGCCTGTAATCCCAGCACTTGGGAGGCTGAGGCAGGAGGATAGTTGTGAGTTCGAGACCAGCCTGGGCTACAAAGTGAGCTCAAGGCCAGCCTGAACTGCATAGCGAGACCCTGTCTCAAAAAGACAAAAAAAAAAAGAACTAAGTTCAGTGTACTAGTTCTACCAAAATCTGCACATAATAGTACCTGAAATTTCATTCTTTTGAGAAAGGTCTCTCTATGTAGTCCAGGCCAGCCTTGAACTCATTATGTAGCCAAGCTGGCTTCAAACTCCAGGCAATCCTCCTGCATCAGCTTCTCCAGCGCTAGGATCACAGGTATGCGCCCCTGCACCCTGTTCAACCCGATTTCTTTGTCCAGCATCACCTTTTTACTTTTACTTATTGATATCTATTTCTTCTGATTATTGAAGCAATACATATTTTTTGTAGACAGTTTAAAGAACTACTCAAAAGCAGAGAGGAGGCCATAAACATACCAAGTCTTTTTTCCATTATGTCTTGGTGCACCTTCTTGTCAGCCTCTGCTCTCATTGCTTGTGTAGAGATAGAACCAAGATAGAGCTCTGCACTTCCAGATCTTCTCTTTCACAGCCCATTTTTCCCTATTCTTTTTCAGCACGGTCCTTGCCTGTTCTCCTGTAGAGCATTTGAGGAGGAAGTGAAAGGGCAGCGTGTTGGGAGCACGGTGAGGAGAGCGGAGTGTGGCCCCAGAAATGAGGTACAGCGCCATCCTGTTGCTGGGCTAGAGTGGCAGTCAGGGGCCAAGAAAGAAGAAAGGCTGTGAAGAAAGACAAGGGCGGGTGGGAGGCAGAGAGTACTGGCGACATGAGGTAGGCAGGAGGCAGCTCTGGTGAGCAGGCGATGCCTGAGTGAGGCCAGAGCGTTTTACAGGTAAGAAAGCCTAGACCAGTAAAACAACTTTTCTGAGGGAATGAGGTGGATTAGAGTTAAATTAGTTTCTTTCAAAAGCCCTTCGGGGGCTGGCGATTTAGCTCAGCGGCACAGCGCCTGCCTAGCAAGTGCGAGGTCATTAGTTCAATTCCCAGCACCGGAAAAAACCAAAGGGAAAAAAAAAAAAAAAAAGCCCTTCTATAAGCCAGGTGTGATGGTACATGCCAGCAATCAGCTGTCTGGGAGGCTGAGGCAGGAGGAGTTCAAATTTGAGAGATCTCAATCTCTCAATCTGTTCAGTTTAGAGACTTAGTGAGCCCAGCGTGGTGGCTCACACCTGTAATCCCAGCACTCTGGAGGCTGAGGCAGGAGGATTGTTGGGAGTTTGAGACCAGCCTGAACTGCATAGCAAGACCCTGTCTCAAAGAGACAAAAATAAATAAATAAATTTTTAAAAAATAGAGACTTAGTGAGACCCCATCTCAAAAAAAGAATGGTCTGGGGATGTAGTTCCATGGAAAGATATGGAAAACAGAATAAAACACCACTGCAGTGATGCCTCCCTTTACAGGGTGTGTATCTCCGCGTCCTCAGAGCCCCTCAAGTGTGATTCCTGTCTGCTTTCCCCTTAGCTTGGCTCTTTCTGCCTGACTTGCGTTAGAGCTTTTCTAAGAAGTGAAACTTAAATGAGAGGTTTGTGTGTGCGACTGTGCTTTCAACTTACACGTGTGGCAGAGATAGAAATGAAGGTTTGCTTTAAGGAATTTGTGAGGATTGGTTTGGAACTTAGTAAATTCTCCACTCTAAAACCTAAAATCTGCACTTGCTGACATTTTGAAGGCCTGCTGGGGAAGGGGACACCCCCCTCGATGCCAACAGAGATGCTCCCGAGAGTCATCCTGAGAAGGAGGCGGAGCCCCAGACTTCAGAATCCATGCTGGTATCATCCTCATCTAGTGAGTCGGAGTTTTCCCAGGCCGACTCAGGACTCTCCCCTTCGGGACAAGCGTCGGTCTCGTCCGGAATGATCTGGTCTTTGGCACCTGAAGAGTCGCTGCCGCAGATCTCGAATGCTCAGGCCTGGGAGATGTACAGCTTAGAGACCCAGGCCAGGGTTGGGCAGCACCGCCACAGTTCTGTCATGGAGACGACACCTGTCTCAGTCCTGAAATCGAAACCTTCCCAGGAGCAGGGGCAAGTGGCAAAGAGAGAAAAGAGTGATGACTTCTTTGCTCGTCCACTCTGGCCCAGGAAGGCTGAGTACCTCCTGGCTCTGGTGGCCTACACCGTGAGGCCAGCCAATCTCTGGCGCTTTGTCCACCTGTGGCTTCACAAAGGGGGCGGTAAGTCCTGGAAATGAGCCGTGGGGGGCTGGCAGGATGGGGGCCTGCGCAGGCTTCAAACTCTGAGCGGTGTCAATGCTGGAAAGTTGTCACTGCGAGCAGGATAGGAGCAGGGTGCCGGGACACCTCGGTCCGTGAAAGGGGTAGTGCAGGGTATCCGGGGTACAGCGTAGCCAAGGTACAGGGTATCCGAGGTGCAGGGTATCCGAGGTACAGATGGTAGGGCTGGAGCCTGGTCGGCAGTAGGGTAGATACTAGTCAGCTTTTCACCCGTGGTACAAAAAGTCCAACAGAGGCCAGTGATATAGCTCAGCGGCACAGCACCTATCTGACAAGCTCAAGGACATAGAGTTTGATTCCTGGTACAAAAAAAAAAAAAAAAAAAAGCAAGCCCAACAGACACAAGTTAGAGGAGGAAAGATGTATTTTACCTCACAGTTTCAGGGGCTTTCAGTCCAGGGCTGGCTGGCAGGGCCAAGGAAAGCTCATGGCAGCTGGAAGCGGAGAACAAGGATGAGCTAGAAACGGGGAGGAGCTGGGGCAAGAACACCTCCTGGCGGGTCACACCCACCGGTTCACCTCCCTCGGGGAGGCCCCGCGCTGCACAGCACTGCCGGCGCTGCTCACCCCAGGAGCACAGCGTCCCCGTGACCCCGTCACCCTCCACAAGCCACTCCTCAGAACACATGGGGTTTGGGGGAATATTCTAGATCAAACCATAGCAGGCAGAAGCCAGGAGTCTGGGCTGTCTAGCAATTAGGGAGCAGGAGCTGAGGTGTCTGGGACCGTGAGGATGTGAAAACAGGCGACCCTGGGTGCCGGAGGCCCCGCGGGAGGCCTCTGGTGCCGAGCGTGGCATCTTGGGGCCAGGCAGGCGTCCAGGCACTGCAGGCCATAGTTCTTGGAACCCTTCTGGACTCTTCTTTGCAGTCGTCTTCCTCGTCATCTACATCATCATGCTGCTGTTTGTGGGGATCCCTCTGCTCTTCCTGGAGATGGCAGCTGGCCAGAGGATGCGCCGGAACTGCATGGATTCGTGGAGGAGCATCGCCCCCTGGGCTGGTGGCGTGGGCTACGCCAGCTTTATAGTGAGGCGTGCTGGGCCTTCCCAGGCCTTCCGCGTTACCGCCCCACACCGCCCCGCCCCGAGGCCCCGCCCTCGTCCGGAGAGGGTCCCCTGACCACTTCCCCCGCGGCACGTCCCTGCAGTCCCTTCGCAGTCCTCTGTCACGTTCCCTCCGCTTTCCTGTCCCTGCTCATCCCCTCAGTCAGCTCCTCCCCACTCCCAGATGTGCTTCATCTCGAGCGCACACCTGAACATCGTGAACGCCTGGATCATCTTCTACCTGAGCCACACCTTCCAGTTCCCTCTTCCCTGGGAGAAATGTCCTTTATTGAAGAATTCCAGTGACTTTGGTGAGAGGAAGCCAGACAGAAAGAGAAGGGGGAAATGAAAACTGGAGGGGAATTTGGAAGAGGACGCAGGAGGGAGGACAGGGAGGAGGAAGGCAGACGGAAACAAGCCGGAGGGAAGGGAGGGGCGGGCCCAGAGGACGGGCCCGTCTGCGGGCGTGGCCAGAGCGAGTCCCCTCAGATCCCGAGTGTGCGCAGACGACACCCTCCGTCTACTTCTGGTACCGGGAGACCCTGAAGGTCTCAGACAGGATTGAGGATGGTGGGCCACTGGTCCTGAGTCTCAGCCTGCCCTTCTTTGTGTCCTGGTGTATTGTGGCTGCCTTCACGATCAAGGGGCTCCAGTCCTTAGGGAAGGTGAGCCAGGGTCCTGGGTCTGTCGATATTCTCAGATGCTGAGCTGCCTCATTCGGCTACACTTTCTCCTCATTTTTCACCTCCCGCTCTTTACTTCCCCAGCTCCGACCCCTGCTGAGCGCTCTCCCCTACCACCTGCTAACCTCTGACCCAGAACCCTCCATCCTTGACCGTGGGCTGGCCCTCCCGGTACACAGTGGGGATCTGTCCCCCTCTCAATGCAGGGCATGTGTGTCTTGCTGTCGCTTTCCTATGTCATCCTTTTCTGCTTCTTCATCTGGAGCCTACAACTGGAAGGGGCAGAACATGGCCTTAAACATTTGCTGGTTGCTAAGGTGAGGTGCAGTCCGCGGTGCCTGCTCTTAGGGCTCCTGTCCCCGTTATCTCCTCCTTCCCCCTGCCTGCAGCACTTCTGCCGCAGCTGTCCTTGCCTTCTGTATTACGCCTTGTCTTATACTCACCCTTTTCCTTTCAGATGTCGGCTCTGTATGACCTGAGTGTGTGGTCAGTAGCAGGAAGCCAAGCTGTGTTTCATCTCGGCCTCGGCTTCGGCCCCATCGCCTGCTTATCCTCCCACATGCCGCAGTCCAACAACTGTCTCTGTGATGCCTTTGTCCTAGCTCTGGTCAACCTGGCCACCTTGTTCTTCATAACGCCTTTCATCCTCGCTGTCCTGGGCTTCTGGGCTACAGTCCTCACGCACCGCTGCACCGAGAAGTAAGGCCAGCTCCTTAGCGGGGGTCCCAAAGACGCTAACGGGGAAGGTGTGCAAAGACCCCTTTCACACATCCCCACCTGGGAGTGCTCTTGGGTCACTGCTCGTCCGTTGCTGAAAACAGAGGCAGTAGAACCCTCCTGGCCTGTGCTATCCTCTCGGCCCTTTCCTACCTCTGCGAATCTGCACGTGCAGGTTGCCAGCTATCCATCTTGAAATAGCTGTGCTAACAGGTACACTGAAAATGACCAGAGTTCAAGCGCCCGATTAATCTGTTCCCAACACACAAAATAACACCACCGGAGATCACATCTATACTGAGAGCCTTCCCAGGCCTTCCACTTCCTGAACGCCTCCCCTTTTAAAGGTGGGACCCTAAATTTAGCACCGTCTGTCTGTCTGGCATACCTAAATCCAAAAGGATTCTCAGCATTGGAGCCTTTATTGTCTGATCCCTCCTGGTTTATTTCTTTGGATGTACTGGGCATTGAACCCAGGACCTTATGAATCTACCACAGTGCTATATCTCTAAGCTCTTAGTTTTAATTTTTGAGACAGGGTCTCGCTATGTTGCCCAGCCTGCCCTTGAAATTTTTTTTTTTTTTTTTTTGTAGTGGGAATTGAACTCATGACTTCGTGCTTGCCAGGCAGGCACTGTGCTGCTGAGCTAAATCCCCAGCGCTGCCCTTGAAATTTAAACTCCTTTCTCAGTCTCCTGAGAGCATGGGATCATAGTCGTGTCCCACCACTCACAGCCTTGGTTTTTATTGTTTAGGCATTAATTTTAAAAACATTCCTCTTGCCGAGCGTGGGGGGACGTGTACTTGGGAGGCCGAGGTAAGAGGATTGCCTTGAGTTTGAGGCCAACCTGGGCTACGTAGTGAGTTCAAGGCCAACCTGAACTACATAGTAAGACCCTATCTCAAAAACAACAACAAAAAACCATCCCTCAGAGATTTTTTTTTTTTTTTTTTTTGTCTTTTCGAGACAGGGTCTCACTATGCAGTTCAGGCTGGTCTTGAACTCACTTTGCAGCCCAGGCTGGTCTCTAACTCACAACAATCCTCCTGCCTCAGCCTCCTGAGTTGTGGGATTACAGGTGTGCACCACCACGTCCAGCATTATTATTTTTTTTTGTACTTAACACCTGCCAGTTGTACATTTATGGGGTGTAGTGTGATGTTTTGATACATGTATACATTGTGCAGTAATAAAATCAGGATATTTATCACTCATCACCTCAAATATTTATCATTTCTTTGGGGTGAGAACATTCAGAGTCATCTCTTCTAAGTTACTTTGAAGTATGTAGTACAGTATTAACTGTAATTACCCTCTGTTCGGTAGAGCACCAGGACTCACTCATCCTAACAGTAATTGTGTACCTGACCATATACACATCACAGAGACTTGGACAAGTGAATCAGACCTAGTTCTTGCTTTCATTAGGGTTTTAGTTTTGGAGGGAGAAGGAGAGGAATTAGATTCTATGGCAGACAGGCGTGAGCTAGTGATTAGTGATGGGAAATGATGGAGGACAAAGCTATCCGTTATGTCTGGGTGAGTCACACGAGGTCTCCAGAGGAAGCCGACCTGGGTTGAATTTCTCCATAGTGACCCTCCCTCCACAGATAGCCACTGTTCTCTTTTAGAAGAGGCCTGGGCACATATGTGTACACATATGCAATATTCCTCTCAAGTACAGACAGTTGTATTTTCAAAGTGGTTTAGTCAGTTACCCTCTCACCAAGGATGTGTGAAAATTCCATTTTTTCTACTTTTTTGCACAACACTTGATTAAGCTCTATCCGACTTTTTAATTTTTGTGATGGTGGTAGAGTATAATGGTATTTTCATGTTTTTAAAAAGCCTGTTAACACCGGGCATGGTGGCACACGCCTGTAATCCCAGCCCTTGGGAGGCTGAGGCAGGAGGATCGTTGGGAATTCGAGACCAGCCTGGGCTACAAAGTGAGCTCAAGGCCAGCCTGAACTGCATAGCGAGACCCTGTCTCAAAAAGACAAAAAAAAAAAAAGAGAGCCTGTTATTGTGAGATACTACTGTACACACACAGGAAAACGCATGAAACAAAATGTGCAGCATGTGAAACTTGCTATAAACACAACCCGTATTGAGAGCTAGAATGATCCTCACACCTTTCTGCGCATCTGTTTGGAGGTGACCACAGCCTTTTCCCTTCTGAGAGGTAACCGTTACCCCGACTTTATGATGATGAATTCTATCCCCTTTGTGTGTGATACGGTTGATTTGCCTACTTGTACAAAACATATGGTTAGTATTTCAGGTTACATCATTTAATTTGCTAAGTTACGTGTAGATTCTCTGGGTGTCTTCATTTTACTTCTCTCATTCAATATGTTTGTAATATCCGTCCACATCACTGCGGTTAACTTTAATCTGTGCTTTTGAATGCTGCTTAGTTCCCAGTGCATAGGTTTAAAACATCCATTCCTCTCTTCATGTGCTTCGGAGTCTTTTCCGTTGTTGCCTGTTAAAGCAAAGCTGGGCTAAGCGTTCGTATCCGTGTTACCTGTGCCCTGCCTACGTGCACATTCTCCAGCGTGTATTCCTGCGAGTGAGGGTGTTGGACAGAGTTATCTATTCCTGGGTAAGAAATCATTTCAGATGTAAGTGCCTTAAAATGATTCCTTGCTTCCCAGGACTCTGGACTGATTGGGAAGTTCTTGCCCTGGGCCTGTGTGAGCTCACAAACATGGCTGTCTAGGGGGAGGCCTGGAGGGGGCTGGGCTCAAGTGGGTGACACTCCTATCCTTTCTGCGGTGCTGGCCAGGCTCACCCCAGGCGGGTGCTCCCTGACCAGCTCACAGAGCACAAAGGCAGGCAGCAGAGGTCTTGAAGCCTCAGCATGGCCATGTGGCCTTCGTCACTGCTCCTAAGTCAGAAGGCCACAAGGGTCAAGGAGCGGGAGACAGGCCTCTCCATAAGAGGAGCTGCAGGGTATTGGTGGCTGTATTTCTTTCCAGTCTTCCACATACCTCTTCAGCTTCACTGAGTTTCTCTCCATACTATATGAGCCACTTGAGTTCCATGTGGGCATGGAAATTCTGATCGCTTCACTTCTTGAAAACACTTGGATTGCCAGAGTGTTAAAGTGTTGCTAAGTGCTAGCAAACTTGCTTAGTTTTGCTGATTTAGTAAGGTTGTAAAGTTTAGTGAGATTGGTATACGTTGATTCCTGCGCGTGTGGGGGTCCAGTTATCTCATACCCCTTGCTGATGAAGCTGTTCCTTCCAGCTCCGTGGTCGTGGCGCCTTCCATGAGGACTGACTATAGATGTGAAGGTTTATTTCTGCACACTGTCGTGCTTTATCGGTTCCATTTTGAAATTAGGATGTGTGGATCCTCCTGCTTTTTTTTTTTTTTTTCAAGATAGTTTTTGGCTAAGCAGGGTCACTTAACACCCCATACAAATATTTTTTTCTCACTTCTGAAAAAAAAATCACTTTTGAGTTCTTACTAGAGATTCATCAAATCTGAAGATCTTTTACTCGGGCAGTGCTTCCATCTTAACAACGGTGTCTTTCTGCTGAGGAATATAGGGTGTCTTTTGTTTATCTAAGTCCTCTTTAATGTCTTTAAGCAAAGTTTTATAGTTTTCTCTTTTTTTGTTTGTTTGTTTTTGTTTTTCTTCTGGTACCAGGAATCGAACTCACGACCTTGCACTTTCCAGACAGGCGCTTTGACGCTGAGCTAAATCCCCGGCCCCTATAGTTTTCAATATACCACTCTTTTGCTTCTTTGGTTAAATATATTCCTAAGAATTTTATTCTCTTTGGTACTGTTGTAAGTGGAATACTTTCCTTTCTCTTTTCAACTTTTTAGGAGATGATGGCTGTGTTGCCCAGGCTGACCTCAAATTACCCTCCTGCCTCAGCCTCATTAATAGCTGGGACTATTGGGTCTGTTTCCTGTTTGGTTTTTTTTTTTTTTTAGTGACTGACTGATTACTGTAGAAATAGACAGGGTCTTTCTTTATAGTTCAGGCTGGTCTTGAACGTGCAGATTCTTGTATCCGTAGATTTCTGTTAGCTCTAGAAATCCTGAACCATATTTGTTCACAAATTGCCTCTGCCTCAATAGCCATTTCGTCTTGTTAGACCTTGTTACCATACACTGTAGGTCTCTGAAACATTCATATTTTCTGTGTTTCCTAGCCCCAGTCAATCACCAGTTGTCAATCAATTAGATTTGTCTTTTCTAGAATAAATTGAGCCATATTGTATATTCTTACATCTGACTTATCTTACCTAGTGTAATGTTTTGGACACAAAAATCCTTAACAAGATACTGGCAAACAATGCAGTAAATCATTAAACAGATCATATACCATGACCAAGTAGGCTTCATTCCAGGGATACAGGGATGGTTCAACATAGTACAAATCTATAATACATATAATACATCACACAAGCAGAAGCAAAGACAAAAACCACATCATCATCTCAATAGATGCAGAAAAAGCCTTTGACAAAATCCAACATCCACTTATGATTTTTAAAAACCTGAAGAAAATAGGTAAAAAGAACATTATATCAATCTGGTAAAAACCACTTATGGCAAACCTACTGCCAGCATTATGCTAAATGGTGAAGAACAAAACTTTCCCTCTAAAATCAGGACCAAGACAAGACTGTCCCCTGTTCAATATAAAACTCAGAACTTTATCTAGAGTGGTCAGGCAGGTGAAAAAAATAAAAAAGACACATTAGGAAAGGAAGAAGCCAAGCTATCCTTGTTTGCAGATGACACGATCTTTTATATAGAAGATCCAAAAAATTCCATCAAAAGATCTTAGAACTAATAAATTCGTCAAGGTAGCAAATCAACACACAAAAATGAATAGTGTACCTGTACATCAGTAATGGACTCACTGAGAAAGAAATTTGGAAAACAATATCATTCACAATAGCTTCAAGAAAAATTAAACACTTAGGAATTAACCTAACAAAAGTGAAAGATGTGGGACATAGTGGTGCATGCCTGTAATCCCAGCACCTGGGAGGCTGAGGCAGGAAGTTTGCTGAGCTTGAGGCCAGCCTGGGCTACAAAGTGAGTTCAAGGCCAACCTGAACTACCTAGTGAGACCCTGTCTCAAAAAAACAAACGCCAGCACTCAGGAGGCTGAGGCAGGAGGATCATTGCAAGTTCAAGACCGGCCTGGGCTACAAAGTGAGCTCAAGGCTGGCCTGAACTGCATAGCAAGACTCTGTCTCAAAAAAACAAAAACAAAAACAAAAAAAACAAATCAAACAAAAAGGTGAAATACCTCTACACAGAAAACTATAGTACTCTGAAAAAGGAGATCTAAGAGAACATTAGAAAATGGAAAGATATGCTGTTTCTGGATAGGTAGGACAAATATCACCAAAATGGCCATATTACCAAAACTGATACATAGATTTAATGCAGCTCCAATTAGAATATCAACAGGAAAAAAAAAAACCACCAACTGACAGCATTCCTTACAGAACTAGAAAAATCCTAAAATTCACATGGAACCGGAAGAGAACAAGAATAGCAAAAGCAATCTTGGGCAGCAGGAGTAAAGCAGGAAGTATCACAAGTTATTATAAAGCTACAAGTTATTATAAAGCTACAGCACAAAAACACATGTGGATCAGTGGAACCGAATAGAGGAACCAGAAACAACCCCAGGCCCGTTAAGCCATCTGATGTTTGAAAGAAGGGCAAAAAACACACTGGAGGAAAGAGAACCTCTTTAATAAGTGGTGCTGGGAAAACTGGCTGACTACATGCAGAAGATTGAATCTAGGCTCGTATCTCTCTCCATGTACTACAATAAAATCATAATGGATCACAGATCTAAATGTTAAGCAATTTGCTGGAAGATAAAGTAGGTAAAACTTCAAAGCATGGGCACAGCCAAGGACATACTGAACAGCACCCCTGTCATCTCAGCACTTGGGAGGCTGGAGCAGGAGAGTCACTGAATTGTGGCCAGCCTGGCCTACACAGTAAGTTCAGGACCAGCCTGCACGATAGTGATTCTTCTTATATAGCAAAGGAAACAACCCACAGAGTGAAGAGACAACCTACAGTGGGAAGAATTCTGCCAGCTACTTCTTGGATGGAGGACTAATATCTGGAATGTGGAAAGAACTTAATTACCCCCACCAAGTAAAATTCCCAGTCAAGAAACAGGCAACTGAAACGAATCCTCTTCTCAGAAGACGTACAAGTGGCCAATCAACATAAGAACATATGTTCAACATTTCTGGCTATTAGAGAAACACAGAAGAACACAGGCTCCATCTGATTCCAGGCAGGCGCTGGTGCCACTGAGCTATACCCCTGGCTTCCGTCTCATTCCAGAAGGAATGGCTGTCACCATCGGGAAGTCAAGCAATAACAAATGTTGGCGAGACTGCAGAGAAAAAGGTAGCTTTCCCCATTGCTGGTGGGAATATACATCAGTACAGCCACTATGGAAATCAGTATGGAGATTCCTCAAAAAAACTAAAAATAAAAATTCTACTCAATCCAGCTATTTCCCTTCTAGATATCTTCCCAGAAGAGTTCAAGACATCCTAGCACAGTGATGTCCATAGCAGCATAACTCATAGTAGCTAAACTTGGAAGCAGCCTGTATGTCCATCAGCAGATGAACGGATAGAGAGAACGTGGTATTCACACACAATGCAGTGCCGCTGGGCTACAGCGGTATTGTTGTTCTAAGAAGGTTGAAAAATATCTTCCAGCCCTTTCCATCATTTCTGATGAGAAGATTAGTCAAAATAATAACTGGCCTACTATCGGAATAACATGTAGTATTTTATTTTCTGAAATGTGATCAAATTATTATTTTCTGGAATCTAGTTTTTGTGGCACGCCTTCCACAGCGGTTCTCACTGAGCAGCAAGCCGCACTTCAGCAGATCTGCACAAGTCAGCCGAGGGGGGACTGACAGGTGGGGAGGCCCCGACTGGGAGAGGGCGTGGTGTCAACAGTGACCTCTGGCCAGCGCAGCGACTGTCAGCTGGGCCTCGGAGGGTGATGAGGCTGGCGCAGCCAATAAGGTTCATATCAGAAAGTCAAAGGCACGTATGTGTAATCTCAGCCCTCTGGGAGACTGAGGCAAAGGACCGCAAAGTCTGCCTAGCCCAGTCTGGGCAGCTTAGTGACTTACAGGCATCCTGTTTCCAAGTTTAAAAAATATATTTAAAAAGGGCTGGAGTATGGCTCAGTGTAAAGGCCCTGGGCTCAGTTTTCAGTCACATAGCAGGACTCCTTGGGAACATTATACACAACGTAGCCCAAGGAAACTGTGCCCCCAGCGTTCTGTGGTTTGAAATCTGGACGGTTAACTTTCACCCACTGGTCTCAGCAAGGAAACTGGTAGGTGTGAATGAGTTCCTCTCACTAGAGGAAAGACCCTAAGTCTCCAGGAGGTTATGGGAAACCCTCCTCCTGGGAGGCCTATGGTCATCCACTCTTCTGGCTCGCGTGGCAAATTCATGGCCTCAAAGGTGGGTGCCTCCCCAAGGAGAGAAAACAAAGAGACTGAGAAAAAGCAGCTGCTTTTGCTGCACCACTAAGAGAAACAGATCCCAGGTCTGATTCCCGGGGCTCCAAGAAGAACTCGACAACTGCATTCATCTGCTACCACTGTTAAAAGCCAGGCCACCTCAAGAGGAGCTGCCCTAAGAGGCCCCATGGGCCATGCCCTGGATGCGAAGGAGACCACTGGAGATCGGTCTGCCCTCTGAGGTGGAGGCCCCAGAGATCAGACCCATGCTACCAGTTAGTCCAACAGGAATGAGAGGGCTTGGGGCATGGGCTGCCTTCTCCCTCTGGCCAGACCGTCATCTCCATCGAGGAGCCCTGGGTAATCATGACTATGGAGGAACAAGAAAACAACCTGTTGCTAGACACAGGTGCAAGTCTCTCGGTCCTTCTTTTCAATCCTGGCCTTCCTTCCAGCCATCATACCTCAGTGAAAGGAGTCACTGGTGAGGAGGTAATATGCTATTTTTGACAACCCTTAGGCTGTAACTCCTTAATAGGTCCCTCTTGCATATCTCTGTCTTCCTGAGAAACCACTCTGAAGATACCACCACGTATTACAGCAGCCATTGATATTTTCCTACTAATCTATCCATAACTGTGTAAAGTTTGTAATGTTCCTATCCTATTTCATAAATGGATGTATGTTTATTATTATGTGTTTCCTACAACAACCATTGAGAATAGTTAATGATTTTTCAATAGGTCACTCATGTATAGCTCTATTTTCTTTAGAAGCCACTTTGAAGATACCAAAGTATAGTACAACAACTCTTGATAATCTCCTACCTCTTTTGTCTGTAACTCACTATTATTTGTCTATTTGTTTTCCTGAGAAACTATTTTGTAGACAATAATATGTAAAATGATAACCATTGATAATTTCCTACCATTTTGTCTGTAATTTGCTAAGTCCCCCCTATTATTATGTTATCCTTCTTTTATTCTTTAAAATAAAAGAATAAAAAAATAAATAAAAAAGGTGGGTGCCTCCCCAGGTTTCCTCTCCAGTAGTAACCAGGAATGCTAGGCTAGGGGGCAGCTTTCTCGAGGCAAGGCAGGAAGGAGAGGCTGTCTCCCCAGAGGCTGCGCAGCCTAATCGAACCGCTGCCCTCAGGAACACAGAAACACTCTTGATGCTGGTGAACATGGGGACGCTGCCTCCGGAGGCTCAGCCCCCTGCCAACCTGCCCAAGGACCCCACCTCCACCTACAATGCCTGGCTCGGTGGCCTGGACCCGAACATCAAGAGCCTGGTGCTCAGCAAGGTGCCTGAGTGCAGCAGAGAGGCGTGGATTCTGCAGGTGAGTGCAGAGAGCTGTGGGCTGGCCCCGAATCCTTTGGGCCTTCAGGACACAGTGTCACTTCTGTGCTCTAGGGAAAATCCCAGAAGCCCCACGGTATCCAGCAGCCCTGACAACAGAAGGGTGGCCCATTGCCATGGATACTGGAGGTGGATCCCCTTTTTTTCTGTCAGATTTGGTTGGAGGTCTGCTTTTCTTTTTCAGAGTAGCCTTTCCTTTTTTGAGACAGGGTCTCACTATGTAGTTTGAACTCACAGTGTAGCCCAGGCTGGCTTTGAACTCATGGCAGTCCTCCTGCCTCAGCCTCCCAAGTGCTGGGATTACGGACATGCACCATGCCTGACAAGATCTGTTTTTCTCAGTGGTTCAGGGCTTTCAAAGCATTTTCCAAAGAAAGTAGAATGTGCCTTTGGCTTTTTTTTTTTTTTTTTTTTGTACCAGGAATCAAACTCATGACTTCAGGCTTGCCAGGCAAGCGCTTATGCCACTGAGCTATATCCCCAGCAACCTTTGCGTTTTGTTTTTGCTGTTCTTGTTGCTAAATTGAAAGATGCTGCAACTCCTCCCACTCCTGTCCTTACAGGTTAAGGAAGGCCCAGGCTTTGCATTCCTGTCCTTTATTGAAGTTGCGTCCTTCCTTCCGCGGTCGATTTTCTGGTCTGTCCTTTTCCTCCTGATGCTGCTGTCACTAGGCTTGGGAACCACGGCAGGGTTTATGCAGGGCCTCATCATCCCGCTCCAGGACTCCTCCTCTTTCTTCAGGAGACAAACCAAGGTGCTCACAGGTACTCTTGACCCACAGCCCCGCTCTCACCCGCAGCAGCCTTAGCCAGGCCTGGTCTGTGACATCTGCCTGGCCCGCGTCACCCTACCATCCTCTGATCCAGTGTCTCCTCTAGGGGGCGTCGTGGTGCTGATGTTCCTGTGCGGTCTCTACTTCATTCGCCCCAATGGCGTTTACTTCATCAGACTGCTGAGCGAATACTGGACGCCCATGCCCATCATCATCATCCTCCTCTGTGAAAACGTTGCTGTGGCCTGGGCCTGTGGGGCCAAGAGGTGATGTCCCAAGCCCAGTCTCCTGGGAAGCTCGGGTCTGTGGGGGAGGTGACCCCTTCCTTGTTGCTTCTGCTTTCACCCAACTAGAGTGACGTAGCAGGGTCTTTGGGGTAATATTTTTTTACCATTTCTTTACTGAATATATATGTTCTCTTATGCAGCAGGCACCATTCAATAAACAAACATCCCTGTCCTTGGGGAGCTCACACTCTGCTGGCATAGATGGGTAATAACCAAACTGACAAAAATGAAGAATAAGAAGGACAAGTGACAGGAAGGAGTCAGAGAGTAGGGTGAAGTGAGCCAGAGCAGGAGTGTGGGGGCACGAAATCCAGCCGGGTGGCAGGGAGGGCCTTCTAGGACAGTGACCCATGAGCAGGCTCCTACACAGACCGTGGAGGACGCCACCGGAGAGTGACCAGACAGGGCAGCCGGAATAACCAGGGTCAGAGGAAGCATGGTGTCTGGAGTGAGCCAGGAGCAAGTTGGCCAGAGACGGGGCCAAGAGCGAGTGGGCCGGGGCGTGGGGGCCTTGTAACCCATGCCGGGACTTAACCTTTACGTGGAGAGCGAGAGCTAATGCACCGGAAGGTTGGAGTCGAGTGGCGTTACCAGATTTATGTTCTACAAAGATGTCTGTGATGCTGTGTGTGGGGCAGACTGGAGAGTCAAGCGTGAAGCAGGGAGAATTGGGAGCTACACACTCTTCCAGTGAGAGCCAGCAGTGTCCTGGGCTCGGGAGGGAAGGGCACAGCCTGGGAGAAGTAGTCTGATTTTGGAAGGCAAAGGAAAGGGGCCAAGATAACCAGGGACAGGGCCTAGAAGTCCTAACTGGAATGCAACAGAAGGAACGCCCAGATGAAGGACATGGGTCTCCTGAGTCTGACCTGTTGCTAGGCGGGTACGTGGGCACCGAGGGGTGCAACTCAGGCGTGGAGGGCGGCCTTTGCAGCTGGCAGTGGTTCCTGGAGTCACTTCCTCCACTTACTGACCCATCGGTGAACTCGGACACTTCCTGAGACTGTGTGTGTCAGGCGGCCAGGTGGACTGGGACGTGACTGCTTAGGCTGAGCGCCTTCTCTCAAAGAGCGCAGAGCTCAGAGGGAAAGCACAGGGCGAGTCCCAGCAGGAGGTGGGAAGACTGTGGCGGTAATAGGGTCAGGCTACGGGCACAGGCGGGTACTGAAGTGGGAGCTCGGGTCACTGTCGAAGAGCGGAGGGCGCTACAGCAGGGTCTGGCAGATGAACAGGAAGAGAGAGGGGCAGGGACAATCAAGGCCAGTGGGCTCCTCTTACCTAGTCACTGAGCTCGAGAACGTGTACTGAAGGAGGCTGGGCATGGGGCTGAAAAAAACTAGGATAAGCTCCCCGAGGACTGTGCATTTCCTGTACCAGCCCTGGCAGCTCGGATACTCTCATACTTGTGGTGAACGAGAGGACATGGCGGTGGGAAGCTCTGACGTGCTGGACAGTGCGGGGACACGTGGAGTCTCCGTGGGTCGGGATGGGGATGGACTGACTGAGGATGGGACTGGAGCGGAAGCAGGGATTAGAGCGATAACAATATTGGAAAGATGCAAAGGCCAGGCCAGGCCAGCCCTGCCCCCTGGGCCACGTAAGGCCCAGCCGGTTACCCACTCTTTTCCCTCCACAGGTTTCTCGGAGACATGAAGAACCTGATGCATGACCTCATCCTCCGCTTCTACAGCTGGGTGTGGAGCTACCTGACTCCAGTCATGCTGCTTGTTGCATTTGTAACCATCCTGGTTAAGAGCTTCATGAAGCCCATCACCTACCGGGCCTGGAACTCCAGCAGTGTGAGCACCTCTGCCCAGGCCCTGGGGTCCCCGAGAGTGGGGCGGACCTTTCAGTCCCCTCTCTAAACCCTTCCCCCACCTCTCCACAGTCCACAGAGATGACCCTACAATACCCATCCTGGGCGCTGTTCCTGATGATCATACTCCTGCTCCTGGTCATCGCGCCCATCCCCATGTACGTCTTCTACTGCCTTGCCCACGGGATTCCCTTCAGGGCCAGCAGTGGGGACAAGCTTACGAAATCCTCCACATCCCTGCATCGAAAGCACCAGATAAAGCCCAAAAAAAGGGACCCAAGAGAAAGAAGTTCTACAAGGCAATAAACCGAAGTGATGACCAGCCAGGCCTCTGACATCCTAGCTCCATTATTCCAGTTTCCCACGTCCCTCAGAACACACTGAGCGGTTTCCAGCTGTTGGTGTCCATGGACCGGCAGGACCCAGGATGCTTTCTTTTCCAAGAGGAGAGCATCGACTGAGAGGCAGGCGGGGCCTGGCTTTAGCCCCCTGCCTGATCCCCATCTTCTCTGCTTGCCTTGTCCCATCCCTGTCCACAGCACGTTAGTCACCATGAAGCTGCGTGTCTTGGCCGCTGGCCTCTTGGGCCAGAACGCCGAGCGCTCAGTGACTCAGCCTGCTGGCCGCCCGGCACCTCCGCTGAGGGTTTCTCTGTAGCTCTCTCAAGTGCTCAGGTTTCCATTCTTTCTAGAGGCAAACGTCCAGCCCCGGGTCCCTGCCCTCCCCAGCCATGGAAAAGTCAAATTCTGCGTTGCTAGATTGGCCTTACTCAAGGAACCGAAGAAGGAAGGAAGGCTATGAATGCGCTTGCCCCTGAGAAGGTGACCCCTGCACCCACCACACTGAAGGTTGTTGTGAGAGTTTGTGCCGGTGGTTCCCAAGTGCGCCTAGTGTGTCAGTAAATCAGTGTGTGGGAACCATGGCGTGGGGCTGCAGGGCCCCCGAGGGTCTCTTCGCTGCTGCTTAGTGAGAGCCGGCTCTGGTTTCATCCCGGCGAGGGATCCTGTGGGTCTGCCCAGCGTCTGGTCACTCAGTGTGTCTCCAGCAGCCGAGCTGATCACTTGTCAAGGATGATGGAGCCTCCGAGGCGGCGCAGCGGCTGCAGGTAGAGGTGTAGGACCCCAGGGATCCGGGAAATAGGTTCCCCCCAAATGCGCAGAGATCTCAGGATGTTGGATTGTCCCGGGCCCATGGCAGTTTCTGGAGGAAAAGAAAACTAAAATGTGGTCCTGGTGACCGTGAAAGCGTGGCACGGGTGGAGGGGTGGAGGGGAGTGCGCCCGGGGCAGGGGCATCGGCTCTGTGCGCTGAAGCGCCTCCCGCGGTGGACCACCTCTGCTGACCTCGGTGACTGACGCCGCCTTGGAGCGGAGTACGGCGGGGTGGGAGCAAAGGAGGTGGCCTTCTGCTTGTACAAGTGGCTCGGTCTTGGGGTCTCGCCTGTTGGGAACCAAGCGATCTCCCTTCCTGCCCCACCCGGGTTCCAGCGTGCGTGGGCCGAACCGAGCTCCGCAGCTTTGCGAGGAAAGTCAAATCACTAAGCATAAAGGAATCCTCCTAAGGCAAGAGAGCCGATGTGGCCGGTAGTGTGCTATTTATTCAGATACTATAAACACAAATTACAACTCACATTACCCATTCTGTGAGATGTTTTAAGTCACCAGGATGCCAGCTTTACTGGGCTGTAGGCTACAGGAAGGCGGGGATTGTTTGTTTCCTGTTTTATCTGTAACACCTGCAACAGCCTCTTGGCTATGCCTTTCCTAGTCTGAGTGGGTAATTAATTTTTTTAAAATTGTAGTGGAGTTGGGCCGGGGATATAGCTCAGCGGCACAAGCACCTGGTTGGCAAGCTCAAGGTCCCGAGTTCGATTCCCAGTACAAAAAAAAAATTTTTTTTTTAAATTGTACTGGGAGTTGAATTCAGGGCCTTGCGCTGGCCAGGCAGGTGCTGTGCCACTGAGCTATATCCCCAGCCCAGCAGTCAAGTATTTAAAGGCTAGACTAGCCCAGGGATGATGTTCCTGCTGAGCGTAGGAAAGGTTAAAATTGCCTAACCCCGGCGTGGAGGCTGAGGCAGGAGAATCGCTGAGAGTTCCAGGCCAGCCTGGGCTACAAAGTGAGTTCAAGGCCAGCCTGAACTGCATAGCCTGACATTGTTTCAAAAATTTATAAAGTACAATAAATAGGAGAAAAAAAATGGCCTGTAACCCAGGGGACCAGAGCTCTGACCGACTCTCGGACTCTCGTCTCGCGCCCGTTAAGGCCACGATCTTCCCCAGACTCGCGCCCCAGTGGCGGGTAAAGGGGGTGCCGGACCTCCCAGGAAACCAGGTATCTGCCCCGCCACCTCTGACCACCAGCGTCCCACCTCGCTTTCTCTCCAGGAATTTAGGAGCCCAGGCTGCGCTGAATCAGGGAGGGGCAGGGCAGACCTGGGGCGCTGTCCCTGGGCACCTCGCTCCGGGTGCAGCCCGGCCGCCTCCCCGCGCTCCCCGCCTCTTCGCCCCACGCAACCCGCGCAAGGGCGGGCCTGGGGACAGCGACTTCCGCAGCCGGGGGCTAGGGCTGGGGACTGCCCCGTCTGTCGGGGGCTTCTGAGCTGCTCTTCAAGCAGGGTGTGGCTCCCGAATCCTCCGAGAGAGCCGAGGGGCGAGGAGCCGACACTCAGCTGCGCCCGGAGGGCGGGACAGGCTGAGCGCCGGGTCCAGCGAGCGCCACGCACCGCCCCCACGAAGCTGCAGGGCAGGCGCCCCCTGGCGGACACCGCCGGGAGCTCCCGAGGGACGAGCGTGCCCAGGGCAGAGCTGGCCAATCAGGGCCCGGCGCCGGAGCGCAAGGGCTGCGAGGCTCGCGCAGATTTAAGCAAATGATAAACTGGGCCAGGCTTATGGAGCGGCTCGGGAATGCTAAGCAGCTATTGCTTAGAATGTAGACAAAGTTCTTTTTAGGCTAGGATGCTGGGGGCACTTGCTTTGTAATAAATCGTTGAGAACAGTGTTCAGTTTGGCATAACATACTGCTAGGGGTTAGATCTAAAGCGGCCCTCAAACCTCATGTGTTCGGAAGGTGACTGGGTTACGGGGCGATGGCTGACTTGTGGCTCGGAGCCCGGCCTGGTCGGAAGCGGCGGCTCGGCGGGGCGAGGCTTCCTGCCCTAATGCGAGCGGCTTTCCCCTCCCCTGGCCAGGCCCCTCCGGGTGCCCTCCCGCTTTGGAGCCTGCCATCCGGGACTGTTACTGAGAGCCGGAGTAAATCTGCCCTTTAAATCGTGGGTGTGGAGTTTCCTGTCCTAGCAACCGGAAGGTGACTAAGATACACACACACACTTGGTACTGAGGCTCGAAGTGGGGCCTTCCCACTGGGCTCCAGCTCCAACTCTCTAATTTTGAGACAGGGTCTCACTTAGTCTCTAACTTGCCCAGGCTGGTGTGGAATTTGGGATCCTCTTGCCCTGCCTCAGCCTCCCGGAGTGCTGGGATTACAGGTGTGTGCCCCCACGCCTGGCTTGGGACCAGTGTCTGAACCCCTAGGATCATCACATCTTTGCTTCTATCTTCACCTTCACCAGCTCAGTATATATGCCTTAAATACCTTACTTCAGTTCTGTTTACTTTTTAAAATTTGAATATAAACAGCCACAGCCTTTGTATGTAGCTTCTTTCCCTCAGTGTTGTTGTGGTGGTGTTTTGTTTTGTTGGCTTTTTGAGACAGAGTCTTGCTGTGTAATACAGGCTGGCCTTGGACTCACTATGTAACCCAGGCTGGCCTCAAACTTACAGCAGCTCTCCTGCCTCAGCCTCTGGAGTGCTGGAATTATAGGCATGTGCCACCATTTCCTCATGGTTAAGTTTTTGAGATTCTTTCCTGGCCATCAGGATAGCTAGTGTGCATTTTTCTTTGCTGTGTAGTATTCCTTGGTACTGACCACAAGACTATCAATGCTACTGTGATGGACTTTGGGGTTGCTTCCTGTTGGAAGGTGTTCCAAACAGTGCTATTCAGCAAATTCTACGTGTGTACTGGGTAAATACGAACACACATTTGTGTTGCAGTTGTAGCTAAAAATATAATTGCAGATCCTGGGCTGTGTGTATCTTCAACCTCAACAGAAGTGCAGATCCATCTTTCAAAGTCATTTTTATCAGTTTTCATTCCCACTAGCGATGTGTGAGATTCCCATGGTCCCTCATTCTGCGGATACCCGGTGTCCTCAGTCTTCACTGTGGCCCAGCCAGGGGGTGTGGCCCTCGGTGGGGTTCTCGTGCCCCCACCTTGGTGATCAGAGAGCGTGAGGAGCTTCCTGATGCCCCCGGCCACTGGGGACCCACTTTGCTGACAGTCTTTTCTGGGTGCTTGAATGTTTTCTACTGGGCTGCTTCTACTTTTTCTTAATGACTTGCAGTAGCTCTTCTTCTTCTTTTTTTTTTTTTTTGTCTTTTTGAGACAGGGTCTCGCTCTGCAGTTCAGGCTGGCCTTGAGCTCACTTTGTAGCCCAGGCTAGGCTCGGACTTGCAGCAACCCTCCTGCCTCAGCCTCCCGAGTGCTGGGATTACAGGCTTGTGCCACCATGCCTGGCCTAACTTGCAGTAGCTCTTTGTAGATTTTGGGTAAGTACTCTTTCAGCTATATAGGTGGGATATTTTTTCTATTCCCTGGTATTTTTCTTAACTTCAATATCATAAAAATATCCTGGAAGATTTGTGAATTTGCCTTTCATGTTAAACCAGTGATCCTTGTGGATTAACTTCTGTGTGATATGAAATGAAGATCTCATGTCACTTCTCCCATGTGAAGAGACACTGTCCCTCTGCTTTTTAATGGTGTCATTTCCACACAGCTCAGGGTTGATGTGGACTAGCTCTGCATTCATATAACACTTTAACTTCTCTTAATAATGGTTATAGGTTTGGGTATGGAGGTCATGTACTACTTCTGTTAAATTTATCCTTAGGCACTGAAAACTATTTTCATGTTATTATAATTTTTGGGTGTGGTGTTTATTTTATTTATTTATTTATTTATTTATTTGTCTTTTTGAGACAGGGTCTCACTATGCAGTTCAAGCTGGCCTTGAGCTCACTTTGTAGCTCAGACTGGTCTCGAACTCCCAACGATCCTCCTGTCTCAGCCTCCCAAGTACTGGGATTACAGGAGTGCACTACCACGCCTGCCTACTATTTGTTTATTTGCTTTGTCTTTTTGAGACAGGGTCTCGCTATGCAGTCCAGTTTGTAGCCCAGGCTCGCCTTGAACTTGCAGTGATCCTCCTGGGGTCAAGTCTCACACTATGGCAGTTATTTAATATTTTGGCATTAATCTCTGCTTGTAAGATAAGAAACCAAGTCTGCCAGAAATGGAATTATTGCCCCAAGTCCACTGCACGTGGGGAGAGTTAAACTCTTGCCCATACTTCTCTAAAAGCCTTGTCAAGGGGCTGGGGATTTAGCTCAGCGGCAAAGCGCCTGCCTGGCAAGCGCAAGGTTGTGAGTTCAGTTCCCGGTACCAGAGAAAAACCAAAAAGCCAAAAAACAACAACAACAACAAAAAATAAAAGCCTTGTCATGAGGTTTACAGCCTAGTGCCTGACACGTGTTCGTTGAAGTCTGCTGTTCTTGGTGACCCCAAGATTTCCTCAGAAGTTAGTGGGCCTGGAAGAAGAATGCCATAGAGTCCCTCAAAGAATTACCTGAAGTCCCACAGGAGGAGACCTCACACTGAAGAGTTCCTGTCCTGGAACCTGCGGCACAAGGAGATTTGGGCCGTAAGGACCACAAACTACCTAAGTCAGTAAACAATGGAGAGCATCTTGCTGCGGTTGTTCATCTCTGCTGGGTTCTGTAACCTGTGGCGTTTCCCTTACCTGTGCCACCAGAATGGAGGAGGTGAGGGCTGGGCCTGGCGCTGGGGGCAGGGGGACCCTGAACAGCTGGTCTTGGGGAGCAGGGGAGGGCAGGCCTGGCCGCCTGAGCACGGCCCTGGCTCCCTCCTCAGGCGGCTTCCTCCTGACCTACGTCTTCATCCTGCTGCTGTTCGGCATTCCGCTTCTGTACATGGAGATGGTCTTGGGGCAGCGGCTGCGGGCGGACAACATCCGGGTCTGGAAGCAGCTCGTGCCCTGGCTGGGCGGCCTGGGCTACGCCTGTGTGCTGGTAAACGAGGTGCCTGGGCTGGGGGTGCCCTAGCTCGCCCCAGGGGTCTCCTGGCTCTCAGGCCCACCGTGTCGGACTCCAGGTACGCATCTTGGTGAGCACCTATAACAGCGTCATTATCTCCTGGAGCCTCTTCTACCTGGGAAGCTCTTTCACTTCACCCCTGCCCTGGGAGCACTGCCCCCTGGTGAAGAACGCCAGCGTCACTGGTGAGGAGAGCCGGGGAGGGGCCGTCAGGGCACCCAGGGGCAAGGGCCAGGCAGAGAACCGTGGTGCTGAGTGCCTGGGTCCCCCAGATTTCTCGTGCCTCCGGACTGTGCCCCACCAGTACTTCCTGTACCACACCACACTCCAAGCCTCAGGCCACATGGAGGAAGGGATCACGAACCTTGTCCTGAACCTCAGCCTGGGCAGCTTCACAACCTGGGTGGTCGTCTTCTTCGTTTTGATCTTAGAGATCAAGATTTCAGTGCTGGTAAGCTGCCCTGACCTGCGGCTCTCAAGAGCTGCAGGCTTCCTGCCCTGATACCATGCACTTCCTTCCTGTCCGCCGTTCTTCCTCCCTATTGGTGGCTTGTCCTTCCTGTCAGGAGCTCTCCTGCAAGCCCCACAACTCCCCCACCCACCCACCCGGCAAGCTTGGGTGTGGCTATCAGGGTCTCCCGCAGGGGTCCTGAGGAGGAGCCCACCCCCTGGAAGCTGGGCCTCCCATTCTTGTCACAGAGAACTGCTGTCCCCCGTGGGCAGCACGAAGGGCCACCTCACACCCGCCCTGCTCCCTCCTCACTCACCACCTCGAGCCAGCGCCGCCGCTCATGGGGACCCGGAGGCCTGTGTCAGTCACTTTCCTGTCACTGGGACAAAGTGACTGAGACCCACAGCTTAAAGAAGGGGAGGTTGGTTTGGGCTCACGATTTAGGAGGGTTCAGTTCGTGCTTGGCTGGCTTCCAGGTAGAACTAGCCCCGCGGCGGGGCCTGGCGGGGGAAGCTGCTCATGGTAGCCAGGAAGCAGGGAGAGAAGTGAAGAGCTGGGGACGGGGGCTGGGGATTTAGCTCAGCGGCAAAAGCGCTTGCCTGGCAAGCGCAAGGTCGTGAGTTCGGTTCCTGGTACCGGAGAAAAACAAAAAAAAAAAAAAAAAAAAAAGAGCTGGGGACGAGGACACCTTCTTCCAGGTCACAGCCCCAGGTCCACCTCCAGCCAGGCCCCACCTCCTAGCCACACACTGAACTGTGAACTCGCCCGTGGACGAATCTGCTCGTGACTACATCACCCCACGATCCAATCGCTTTCCACACACAGGAGATCTGGGGAGCCATTTTGGACCTAAGCCATAACGGCCATCGTGTGTCGCTCTGAGCTCAGCCACCTCGGCCTTTTGCTTCCACAACCTGTGTGAGCCCATGAAGGAGCTGACTGCCACCAAAGCCTTTCCAGTTTCCCACGAAGAGTATTTTATGCCAATGCACCGACTTCCGAGCCACTCCTTTGGCTCCTGAATCATATTCCCCTGACAAGGGAAATTAATTTCAGAGCGCCGGGGAGATCACTTTGCCTAACTCCACTTTACCAGCTGGTCTCTGGTCTGTGCGAACTGAGCCTTCGCCTTACCATCTCTTCACAGACCCCAAAAAAGCCACTCCTGTAAAAACAGAGCTTAGTGAAGGCTTAGTGGGGGCCCCTGGAGGAAGGGGGTGCCTTACCAACTCGGGCAAGAGACTTCAAACCCTACATTAACTATGTAACATCGCCATTTCCTTCCCTCTCCCCTCACCTGTGAAGTTCTACGAAGTCTTTACCTCCACGGGTCCCCTCGCCTTTTCCATTCCTGTTCCTACGTTCACCCGTGGGCCATTAACCCAGGCCCGGTGAAGTAACTGTCTGCCCCGCCGTTGTTCTCTGGGCTTTCGGCCCCCTGCTAACCTTGGCCTCCATCCGCCCTCATCCCCCGCTCTCCTGAGTGCTGGTTTCTGTCCTAACCCACCCGTCCAGGTGCTGGCTTCCTGGGTGCTCCTGTCCTACATTCTCCTCTTCTTCCTGTTTGTCCGAGGACTCTTCCTAGAAGGTGCACTTAGTAGCCTCAGACGTCTGATGACCATAGAGGTGAGACCACGGACTCCAGACCTTTCTCCTCCTTCCCCTGCTAAGACTTTCACTGAGTCTCCTCGCCCCCCGCCTTGCTTCCCTCCGCCCCCGGCCTTCCCCCTTTCCGCTCTCCCCTCCCAGCCTGCCCCTCTGCCAACGCACTGGTACTTCCGGCCTCTGAGCCCTCTCCCAAACTCGGTTCCACAGCTCTCTACCTTGGCTTCAGTGGACCTGTGGTGGCAGGCAGGAGGCCACGTGCTCTATTCCCTGGGCCTCGGCATGGGCACCATCACCACCTTCTTCTCCCACAACAGTGGAGGTGACAGCTATGTCAAGATGGCCTCCTTTGTGGCCCTGATCAACCTAGTGACCTCAATGCTGGCCACGTCCACCATCTTTATAGTGATGGGGTTCTGGGTCACCACCAGTGGCCACAGCTGCGTGGAGAAGTGAGTAACCCCGCCCCCCACCTCAGCGCCCCATGGAGCCCCAAACTCTAGATCTCCAGTTATAGTAATAACTTCATGTTTACTCTCAGAGAAAACAATCAGAAAGGGAATACTGTGATCTCTTCTGTTTTGTAGACAAGAAGAGTAGCCTCAGAGAGCTGACTGCCCCAGGGTTTCCCTAATTGCAAATGGAGTAAGGCAGATTTCAGAGTCAATTCTTAACTCACAAAGGAAACCAGTGACTGCTGGCCTTGGCTGCATATTTGAATCATGGGAAAAGTCTTTGAAAACATTTATGTCTGAGATCCACCACTAGAGATTCTGATTTATTTGGTCTTGGATATATCCAGGCATTGGGATTTTTAATAGTTCCGGTTAGAATTTTCCTCCACAATGGGATTTTTCTGAAGCAAAAGGATGTAAAAGTCCACGTTCCCATAGTAGCAGGAATTTTGTTTTGTTTCATTTTTTTGAGACAGGGTCTTGCCGCACAGTTCAGGCTGGCCTCAAACTCACAGCAGTCCTCCTGCCTCAGCCTCTCGAGTGCTGGGGCTACGGGAATGTGCCACTTACTCCCAGCACTGGCAAGAATTTTTTGGTAGAGATGACAGAAACCATACTTCCCTAAAAAGTTAGCCAAGAGGAGTGGACATAGCTTTAGTGAGCCAAATCCTGGTGAGTAATCGGCCAGTCATAAGTGGGGAAGAGCCAGGAATGCTTTTCTGTCTGGGGTAAGGGCCTGACATGGGTGGTGTGGGCTGGAGCAGGCTTCATGGAAGCGCAGACCTTGCACAGAGGAGAGGAACGCGGGCAGTACGGGTGCCTGTAGGTGTCAGAATCTTGAGAAGCTTCCCGTGCCAGTAGATTGATCCGCCAGTTCTCCCGGCATCATTCCTAGCAGCTGTGCTGAGGAGGTAGCAGAGGCTGCCACAGAGACAAGGCTGGGAGGCAGTTTTCTGGTGCTCGGATTCATGGGTCCCGCTGGAGTGAACCCCCAGATGAATCTTGTGTCTCAAGCCACGTCCAGCCTCTTCCAACACAAGCAATGACCAACACCCTGGGGGTCAGTGCTGTGGGAGCTGCGGGAACTTGGGGGCTTAATGCAGTGGTGGTGTGCGGTCTCTTCAGTCCCATTTGAAGACAGAGGAAAGTGAATTAAAATTGCCACCCAGCCGTAGCTCAGCTCTTAGAAAAATCTAACAATGAATTCATTGAGACTAAACAAATAAGCAAGATATGTGCCTTTCTCCTTTGGGTTTTGACATATAATATCCAGCATAAAATTAAAAATCGCGAGATATTAAAAATCTAGAAAAATGTAAACCATAGCCAATAGAAAAAAGACCAGGGCTAGGGATATAGCTCAGCGGCACAAGCGCCTGCCTGGCAAGCGCAAGGTCCTGAGTTCAGATCCCAGTACCAAAAAGGAAAAAAAAAACTCAGATACTAGAATGAACAGACAAGAACTCTAAAACACCATTATGGCCAGGTGTGGTAGCACACGCCTGTAATCCCAGCACTCGGGAAGCTGAGGCAGGAGGATTGTCACGAGTTCGAGACCAGCCTGAGCTATAAAGTGAGCTACAAAGTGAGCTCAAGGCCTGAACTGCACAGTGAGACCCTGCCTCAAAAAGACCAAAAAAAAAAAAAAAAAAAAAAACAAAGAAAAACAAAACACCATTATGAATATGTTATGAAATTTAATAGGAAAGATGAACAGAATGTGTGGAAAGATATAGAGATTTCAGAAAAGAACCCATAGAAATTCTAGACCTGAAAATGTAAGTTAAATGAAAGTTACATCAAATGGATTTAATACGATCTGGAAACAGTAGAGGAAGGGAAGACAGAAAGTTATATACCATATCTAGAGATGGAAAGTTATATATGGAAGTTACAGAACATGAACCTCACAGAGAGAGGAAAACTGAACATAGCCCCAGCGACCTATCAGACTAAAATGCGTGTAACTAGAGTTTCAGAAGAAGACAAGGTGGGATTGGTACAAAAAATTTAAAAATTGAAAAAATATTTTTCAAATTTGATTAAAAACATTAATCCACAGATACCAGAAGCTTGGAAGATCCCAACGTAAGTAAAAACAAAGATGACCACAAATTGGATATCATAGTCAAATTTCTGACAGTCAAAGATGAATACAAAATGTCGAAAGTAATCAAACATAGTAAAGAGCCAGGCACGGTGGCACGTGCCTGTAATCCCAGCACCAGGGAGGCTGAGGCAGGAGGATCATTGTGAGTTTGAAGCCAGCCTGGGTTACAAAGTGAGCTCAAGGCCAGCCTGCACTGCACAGAGAGACCCTGTCTCAAAAAAAAAGATTTAAAAAAAAAATAGTAAAGAGTACGTTGCTTACAATGGTTGTGTGATAAGAATTACAGCAAACTTCTCAGAAGCAATGGAAGCCAGAGTAAAATGGAATGAAATACTGCAGAGCACTGACAGGAAGGCCTTGTGAACCACCTACCATGTTCAGCAAAACAGCCTTCAGCAACGAGGAAAACGAAGGTATTTTCAGGTAAAGGTGAGATAATTCATCACAACAAAATTTGTACCAAGAGAAATACTAGAAATTCTTTTTTTTTCTTTTTGAGACAGGGTCTCACTATGTGGTTCAGGCTGCCTTGCGCTCACTTTGTAGCCCAGGCTGGTCTCGAACTCGCAAGGATCCTCCTGCCTCAGCCTCCTGAGTGCGGGGATTATGGACGTGCGCCGCCATGCCCAGTTTAGAAATTCTTGAGGCTGGAGGAAAATAGTTGTATTTGGACGCCAGTAAAGTTTACCACTGAAAAAGTCGTTTCACATACTCAGCTTGCTCTGAACATACTTCAAACTCTCCCTGTAACTGAATAAGCTGTCTTCTTTAAAATTAAAATTAATGAAATATTCAGTGCCTCAATCATTAGCCACCTCTCAGGTACACATAGCTGCATCTTGTTCATGGCCGCGTAGCAGATAGCAGAGCTCCAGAGTAATCATGAAGAAAAACCCAAGTGACACACTTCAAAGTCAGGAGAGAGGATCAAATGGAGCTGACAGAACCCTGGATGGATACCCAAGGAAAGTAGAAAAGGAGGGAAAGGAACAGATGAGACAAAGGAAAGCAAACAGGGCAAACAGCATAGCAGTAATTACATTAAACAAATGCCCCGCTTCAAAAGGAGAGAGCAGTTGTAAGACCATATAAGTTTGGTTTGTTTGTTTGTTTGCTTTTTGTTTTTTTGAGACAGGGTCTCGCTATGCAGTTCAGGCTGGCCTTGAGCTCACTTTGTAGCCCAGGCTGGTCTCAAACTCACAATGATCCTCCTGCCTCAGCTTCCCGAGTGCTGGGATTACAGGTGTGCGCCACCACGTCAGGCCCTACTCATAAAAATTAAAGTTCTCAACAAACTAGAAATACATACAACAGAACTTCCTCCCTCTGCTCAGTTTTTCTCTGAAAGTGTACCTAGATCACTGGATAACTTGGTGGCCCTTCTGCCCCACCTCCCCTAAATGCCAGGATTACAGGCATGTACCATCACAATTGGTGAGTTTTCAGTTTTATAAAGCTCTGGTGGCAGGTGTGGTGTTACATACCTACAATCCCAGCACTTGAGAGGCTGGAGCAGGAGGATCTCTGTGAGTCTGAGGCCAGTTTGGGATACATAGTGAGTTCAAGGGTGGCCTGGACTATATTGCAAGAGCCTGTCTCAAAAAAATTTTTATTCTAAATTTCAGTTGCCATATGCATCTAATGAAAGTCCTATCAGACAGTCTGTGGAGAGGGTTGGGTCCTCCTGAGGGAGCTGTCCCAGCCCGCCTCCAGCTTCCCATGGTCTCCCAGCAGTCTCTGACATTCCTCCGCTTGTACAAGTGTCACCCCATTCTCCTCCTCCTCTTCACGTGACGCCCCCTGAAATGTGTGTCTGTGTCCACATATCCCATTCTCTAAGGACTCCGGTCGTGTTGAGGAAGGACCTGCTCACTCCACGGTGACCTCATCTTAGCTAGTTACATGTGCAAGGCCAGATTTTTGAGGTTCAGTGGTAGAACCATGCTGGCAGTGAGGACTTCAACACAGAAACTATGGGGAGACAGGTTTATGGCTTGTGTCTAGAGGTACCCCCTGTAACCTCGCACAGTCACAGGTGGGGCTTTTTCAGAGGTGGCTGGACACAGAGTGTGACGCTGGGATTGACCCATGAAGAAATGCAGGATCAAGGGTACTGGGATTAAGGGTGTGAGTGCTGCCCGCCCTAAGTAGCCTGGATGAGCTAGAAGGGACAGAAAGAGGCCTGTCTCGTCCTTGTTGCTTTGCTGCCTTCCGCCTGCCCTGGACTGTTTCTCCTCTGGGATGCCCCTCTGCCATCCACCCTGCCTTGGAGCCAGCCGATTATGGACTGAAACTTCTACAGACTGTGAGCTAAATAAAGCTTTCCTCGGCCGGGCGTGGTGGCGCATGCCTGTAATCCCAGCACTCAGGCGGCTGAGGCAGGAGGATCGCTGTGAGTTCAAGACCAGCCTGGGCTACAAAGTGAGCTCAAGGCCAGCCAGAACTGCATAGAGAGACCCTGTCTCAAAAAGACAAAAATAAAATAAAATAAAATAAAATAAAATAAAATAAACCTTTCCTCCCTTAATTTTGGGTGTTGGGTATTTTGTCTTAGCCATGAGAAGAGTAACTAAGACAAGACATAATTTGCCTCAAAACACTGAAAAATACTACCTACAGAAAATATAAAATCTGCCAGGCATGGCGGCACCTACCTGTAATCCCAGCACTCTGGGAGGCTGAGCCTGGAGGATCACAAGTTCAAGGCTAGTCTGGGCAACTTAGTGACTTTGTGAGCCCTGCCTCAAAATAAAATTTTTTTTAAAAGAATTGGGGATGAAGCTCAATACCATGGTGCTGGATTTGATAGGTGGACTCTGTTAGGTGGCCTTGCCCTTGGTGGCCCCCTTCAAAGGGCTTGGGCAGCCCCACCGCTATGGCCTTGCTGGTTGCACCCCACATGATCTCTCTCTTGGCCTGGCTCACTCCCTGAAGATTTCCTCAGCAGACATTCCACATTCCTGGATCCAAATTCCCAGCATTTCCACTGTACCTTCAGCTTCCTTCTCACAGCTTCACCCACTGCCCCTCAAGGGCACACTGCCTGGCCTTCCGAGGCCTTCTTTTAAAATCTGGGTGTAAGCCTTCATGACCCCAGAGCTCATACACCCTGCATCACATACACCAGCATCGCATGAACAATGCCAAGGTCTTCCACCAGTGTGGGTAGCAACCAGGCCCCCCTGGGCCATGGCCGCAGCGGTCACTGAGTGTTAGGATGGCTGAGCGTGGTGAAAAGAAGTGTTACCAAAAAGAAGAAAAAAGTAGAAAATTTAGAATTCTCTGCTTGCTAGGTAGACTCCATGAGGCGGCCTTGCCCTTGGTGGGCCTCTGGTCAGGGGCCCCTTGTTCCTCAGCAGCAATTTACTTCCCTCCCCAGCCTCAGTCTCCTTGCTGTGCAGATGACAGAGAAGCCAGCCTGTTTTCCATCAGTCTGCTTTCCTCTGCTTCCCCTCCAGGGCAGCCGCAACTCTGATAAGGCTAATATCCAATGGGCTGCTGCCTGAGGAGGCGCAACCCCCCGAAGACATGGTGCACATGGCCCCCCAGGACTACCTGGACTGGATCATCAGCCTCCCGAAAGAACTCCAGGGCGACATCATCTACTTCTCCCCATCCTGCAGCCTCCTGGTGCAGAAGGAAGAGGTGTGTGTAGTGGGGGAGAAGGAGGGTGCTCCCTAAAGGCCCCAGAGGAAAATGTGTTTTCTGGAGGCCTGGTGGGCCACCTTAGCATCCCCTGGAGCATGTAGGAGTCCTAACCATGGCCACCATTTCTACGTGCTAGAGCCTTTGCTAAATTCAACTCCAGGGTCCCTAATTGTTCATGGAGGAAACGAAGGCCCTAGTACGTGGACCTGACCCAGCTGACACCAAGGAGGGAAAATGTTACTTCTCCCACCCCACACATAGCGGGTGCCTCTTCCTCTGACCCGGGCAGGCATTGCTAATCAATCACCGCACCTTCCCCCAGTGCAGCCCGCAGAACCCTTCCCTCCCCACCCCCAGTTTCTGCAGGGCCCTGGCCTGGCATACGCAGCCTTCTCCCAAGCCGTCTCACTGTTCCCTGATGCCTCCTTCTGGGCCATCATCCTCTTCCTGACTATGCTCGTCATTGGGCTGGGCACCTCGATAAGACTCTTGGAGGACATTGTCCCTTCCTTCCAAAACTCCACCTCCCTCTTCATCAGCCACCCCAGGCTGATCCCAGGTAGGCGTGGATTCTCACCCCATTAGAAACCCTGCCCTGCTGCCTCTTGTGCCCCTCCTGCCCAGCTCATGCCAAATCTCCAAGATGGCCTCTGACCCCCACCCCAGCCTCCTCGTGGAGCTTAGCGTAGCCACGCCTGCCTCTGCCTAGCGCTCGTGTGCCTGGGAGGCTTCCTGGGCAGCCTCGTCTTTACCAGTCAGCCTGGCAGCTACGTCCTCTCTTTGTTCGATGACTACCTGGTCCCTCAGAACCTCATCATCCTTGTGATATTCCAGAATGGGGCTCTGATCTGGATCTATGGAGCCCGAAGGTGATTTCCAAGCCCTAAGGCTGCCCACAGCGGGCGGGGGGTCCTCATGGGAGCGGCAGAGTGACCCCGGGCAGCGAGAGGGCTGGGGTGGTACAGACCCCATGAATGAAGGGTTCCCGCCTGGGAGGCCCTACGAGAGGGAGGCCCACCCTGCCAGGGCCCGTGTCCCAGAGCTCCCTGACTGCCATCTGGCCCAGGTTCAAGCAGGAGGTGTTCAGCCAGCAAGTCGGCCTACTGCAGCCCTCTTGGGCCTTCCTGTGTCACTATGTGACTCTGCCCGGGCTCCTGGTCCTCCTCACTGTGTGCCTCCTGCATCTCTACTTCCAGCCGGCTGCCTACTACTTCAGCTGGAATAGCAGCACGGTGAGGCCCGCTCCCCACGCTGGGGGCCCCAGTCAGCCCTTGCACCCCACAGGTCTCTGGGTCTGGGCACCCGTCTGCCCCAGGGACCCTTAACCCAGCTTGCCAGCCTCTGGGGAGTTCCCACCCCAGCCACACCCGCATGGACTGAAACCCCACACCCTTCTGTCTGCCTCCAGAGCCAGGAGGTCAGGCAGCCCTACCTGCAGAGCAGCCTCAGCTGGGCTGCCCTCCTCGCCTTCCTCACCCTTCTGCCAGTCCCGGCCTACGCGCTTCACCACTGGTGGTGCTTGGAGAACAAAAGGCCCACAGCGGTTGCCAAGGCCAAGGAGTGGCTCAAGCGCCCTGGGAGGAAAACCAACCTCAGCTCCCAGCACAAAGCCCGGAAGACCTGGCTGAAGCGGCTTAGCCTGCCCTGGTTCCGGCTCCTGCGCCCGTCCCTGAGGGGGGACAGCAAGCTCTCCTCCCACTTCACCATGCCTCAGGCGATCTCCCCGTTCTCCATGAACGTCACCCCCTCCCAGCAGACGAGTCCCAGCTCTGGACCCAAGGACAGTGCTGGTGGCCGTGAGGAGAAGACAGAGAAGCTGCCCGACAACTCCGGGAAGTAGCTGGCGCCGCCACCTGTGTTCCAAGCAGCAGCTCTGTCCGCCGCCCGGCAGCCCTGGCGCCCACCTTCCTCTGCGGGAGTGAGGGGCAGCGTCCTGCCCCCCATGGTGTCACTGGCACGTCTGTCCCCTGCTGTCCCTAACTGTCTCATGGTGACCTAGCCAGAACTAGAACCCGGGTCTCCCACGTCCCTGTAGAACGCTTTCACTTTTCATTTCCCCACCCAGCCTCCCCTCCTGCCCTGCCTTCCCTGCTCCCAGCCCTCCCATGGCTCCCCAGCATCCACGGACCATCGCAGCTCTCCCCGTGATGTCCCTGGCGGATCTGTCCAGCTTCTCCCCGCCTTACGTGGCGGTCACTGGGGCCAGCAGGCCGGGCTTGGAAAGCGGGGGCCCCCTCCGCACCCTCTCAACACAGCTCTCCTGTCTCCAGGACTTCCCGCCTTTTCCCACCTGCTGCATTCCCTGCTCATCCTTAGATGAAACGTCCTCTCTCCCGGGAAATTACCAAAGGCAGCCTGCTTCCCACCAGAGGCTCCAAACTCCATCTCATTCACTTATCTAATGAAGAGTATTTGTTTGTTTATTGGTTTTGGTTTTTGTTTTTTGAGATAAGGGCTTGCTATGGAGCCCCAGCTGGCCATGAATTTGCAGCAATCCTTCTGCCTCAGCCTCCTGATTCCTGGGATCACAGGCGTGCGCCACCACCTCCGGCAATGTAACTAAGAATATTGATGGAGTGTAAATTCACAACCAGAAACAAGACAGGCAAAACCCCTGGCTCCCACAGAGGAGCTCACTTCCAGCCGTGTGGTTGGGGTGAGAGGAGGGAGTGATTCGGAAGCTGATGGAGGAGGAGGCCTGGCTCCTGGGCCCCTCAGCCCCACCCTCTTCCCTCAGCCCAGCTCCTGCTCTCAGAGGCGAAGGGGCCTTCGCCCAGGCAACTTCACCCGACAGGGAGCGAACTCCCGGTGAATGAGTCCCTGCACACTGTGCATAAACCAAAGCCCAGAAACGTGCCCGGATTTGCTGCCCCCTCAGCCAACCCCAGGGCCTCCCAGCCACAGAAACCACTCAAGTTCAGGGACAGTGACGGGGTGGGCATGAGGCTGGGAAGATGTGAGGAGCACGAGAAACAGGAGCGAGAGCTTTTAAAAATCCAGGTAGGGCTCTTGAGCAAAGAAAGGACCATTTTGCTGCTATTCTGCTTCACAGTTAACACCCAACCTCTTAAAAATTGTTTATTTCAGGCAGTTTTCCCCCAAGACTCTAAGTTCAATGAACAAAATATATAATTCTATTTATAATTAAACTACAGGGACTCAAAGCTCAGACAGTAGGGGAATCACTCACTTTCCGCTTGCCCTTCCTTGATTCTCTTGTGCAGTGGGCAACCCCATGGGGTGCATAGAACTGAGAGGGACCTGTACTTGCAGTTGAAAGGGAGAGAGGTTTCTTCTGGCTCACAGTTTTGGAGGGTTCCGTTTACGGTCATCCGGCTCCGAGGCAGAGACATCCGGGTGGAAGGGCCTGGCGGAGGACACCTCCACACCGCATGGAAGCGCGGAGCCATAGAGGGAGACCCTGCCCTCTAACGACGCACCTCCGCCGACACTCTCTGCATACCGGGCCCCACCTCAAACAGCACAGTCAACCATGAACTCATCCGTGGACTGATCCATGATCCACCTTCCAAAAGCCCCAACACTAAACAGAAGACTTTTGGAAGACAGTTTAGATCTAAACAATAACATTCTGTCCCCTGGCCACCAAAAGGCTTATATCCATCTCATTATGCAAAATGCATTTAGTCCATCTGTAAGAGTCAACAAAGGCTTCACAGTTACATCATTGCTAAAAATTCCAAGTCCTGCTGGGCAGAGTGACACATCTGTAATCCCAGGACTTGGGAGGCTGAAGCAGGAGGATCACTGCATAGTGAGTTCAAGGCCAGCCTGGGCTACATAAAAAGACCCTGTCATAAATAAATAAATAAATACATACATAAATAGTCCAAAGTCTCCTCTGAGACTCAAGGCAAACTCTTGGCTGTGAAAATAAAAAAACAACTTGCACAATGCCAAGGACAATGGCACAAAGTAAACATCCGCCATCCAAAAGGGAGGAATAGGAGAACAAAAGGAATAAGACCACAGCAAGATTTAAAAAACAAACAAATAAACATTAAAGCCTGTATAGCCCCATATCAGCACACAGGGAAAGTTGTGGACAGATGTGAGCTTCAAAGGGCTTGGGCAGCCCCACCCCTGTGGCCTTGCTGGTCACACCCCACATGATCTCTCTCTTGGCCTGGCTCACTCCCTGAAGATTTCCTCAGCAGACATTCCACATTCCTGGAATCTCCAACTTCCCGGCATTTTCAGTGTACCTTCAGCTCCACTCTCACAGCTTCACGCACTGCCCCCTCAAGGGCACACTGCCTGGCCTTCCGAGGCCTTCTTTTAAAATCTGGGTGTAAGCCTTCATGACCCCAGAGCTCATATACTCTGCATCACATACACCAGCATCACATGAAAAATGCCATGTTCTGCCACCAGTGTAGGTAGTAACCAGGCCCCCTTGGGCCATGGCTGTAGTGGTCACTGAGTGTTAGGATGGCTCAGCATGGTGAAAAGATCTGGAAAACCAGTTCCCTCAGTGACCCTTCTCATGCAGGGGGCTCAAAGACTTCCCAAATGAAAGGTTTGCACATTGGCAGCTTTGAGCCTGTAATGGGTGAGGTCTTGCTGATTCCTGAGATGCCCTCGAGGCATCTTTCTTCTTGTCTCTACACAAAGTACTTGGTTTCTTTTTAATGGCACTAATCTCTTCAGCAGCCCCACCTCTTTTGGCTCCAACTTTATACATGGGTCTTTCTGAACCAAAATTTAACTTTTCCAAATTTTTTTTGCTCTGCCTTTTGGCCCCAGTTATCACTATAAATCTGGCTAAAAGAAGCCAGCAATACCCATGACACATCCTGAATGTTGAGCTGTCTTGAAATTTTCTCCTGCTCTTCTGCTTCTGTCCACCATCGTGTGCCTCCTCGTGCCTCCAAACCTAACCATGTCTTCTCACAAGACTTTCAGAATCAAGTGAATCCTGACCAGGAAGCAAAAGCAGAATCATCCCATTTCTCAGTGGATTCAGATGAATCAGATACAAGTCCAAGAGAAGTCACTGGAGGGAGACCAAGCTGGGACTGTAAGGAGTAGCATGTGAGCTGCAGCATATTTACTCTCTCAGGGTCCACAAGATGATACCTTCTCTGATCAAGATTGTATCACCATGTCAAGCTTAAAAAATACCACTGCCTGGGCAGTTGAACATGCTTAGTCTGGAATCTTTTTCTGTGATCAGCACTAGTGGGTCAACAATAAATATTTGAAAGCTTTAAAAAAAAGTTTTCTTTCTTTTTTTTTTTTTTCTTTCAGAGTAATTGTAGATATTCTTAGGCATGTAGCTCAGTGGCATAAGCGACTGCCTGGCAACTGCAAGGACCTGAGTTCAAGTCCCAGTACCCTAACAAAAAAGTTCTAGACATTCTTCATTAAACGATCTCCCTACTTAAGGACTTTTTGGACTTATAATTGAGGTGTGCCGTTTAGACTTCCAACCCACGGCTCAGATTTATAGCCCCCCCCCCCGCTTTTTTAGAAGATGTTCACACATGCCATTTATTTGCAAATTTAAAATGTAGTAGGTCCTAGCACTCAGGAGGCTGAGGCAGGAGGATCTTTGTGAGTTCAAGACCAGCCTGGGTTACAAAGTGAGCTCAAGACCAGCCTGAACTGCACAGTGAGACCCTGTCTCAAAGAGATGACAAAAAAAAAGTAGTAGGACAAGAAGTGGTTCAACAGGAATGTTGGAAAAGGATGAAACCAGGAAATTCTGGCCAGGGGACTGGCTCAGAGAGCACACAGGAGGACCCGGAAAGGTCTGAGTGAAGAGGTGTCTGCAGAAAGCTCCCATTAGCCCGAGTCTGCTTCCTTCCACCCACAGGACCCAAATACAGTACACAGACATTGGGCATGACTGCCTGTGTGCAATTATTGCATCCTTTGTGAACATCCAAGGCAGGTAGGGTAAAAATTACCACAGCAGAGCTACTGACACATCGATAAGAAAACATCTCAGTGTAATGCGCTCTGGAAGAAAGCATTCTGGGAACGCAGGGAAACCGTCCAGGGAGGAGCAGCTTACAAAAGCCTAAGAGGCTGAGAGAGAAGAGAAAGATCTGAGCCACTTATAGGAACACTTTTCTGAAGGAGATACCAGAGAATGAAGGCCCTTACCTGGAAGTTTTTTTTTGTTTTGTTTTGTTTGGTTTTTACCTGGAAGTTTTAATGATGTGGGGCTGAAGCGCAGAACGTGCTGGAAGTGTGTGGAGCCAACGCTGAGAAGGTTCTCCTTGCCAAGAGAAAAGGACTGAAATACCTGCCAAGGCTTCTTGTAAATCCAAGAATCACAGAACTGAGCCTGTTTGGAAAGCATAAGACAAAAGGCAGGAACTGAAGTGGATTCTCAGCAGTTCCTCACATTTTTCCATAGTGAAACATGAAATGCTGAGGAAGAAGTAGAAAAAATACTGAATATATATTGCTGGGCGTGGTGGCGCACGCCTGTAATGGGCAGCACTCGGGAGGCTGAGGTAGGAGGATCGTTGCAGGTTTGAGATCAGCTTGGGCTACAAGGTAAGCTCAAGGCCAGCCTGAACTGCATAGTGAGACCCTCTCTCAAAGAGAAAAAAAAAAAAAAAGGAGGGGCTGGGGATTTAGCTCAGCGGCAAAAAGCGCCTGCCTGGCAAGCACAAGGTCGTGAGTTCGGTTCCCGGTACCGGAGAAAAACCAAAAATCAAAAAAAAAAAAGGATCCAAAGGAAGCAGAGCTGAGCCCACTAAGTCACAAAGGCTTCCAGCTGGGATGCAGGGAGAGTGACTGCTGTGCCCTTTAAGGCGGGTGAGTGTGCCAGCCCACGTTCCTGCAGCGGAGGCTCCTGGTCTCCTAGGCCCCGCTGCAGGGGCTGTGAGGATCAAACCACCTTCAGTTCATCTGCTGGTCGTTACCAAACCCCGGGCGGTTTATTCCTTCCCACCACCATGCTGAGTACACACAGCAGAAGGGTGCAGGTAGAGGGTCCACCCAGACACAGGCTGGACCTTACTCCACCTGCATCCCCTTCCCCGGAGCTAGGAGACCTCAAGGTTCCTGGCACTAGATTGCTCTGTGTCCCGGGAACCATTCTGCGCAAAACATTGCCATCTGAGCAACGAACCCTGACAGCAGGGCACCCTGAATTTCTTCCCTGGATCCCAAATGTCCGGGGACCTAGAATCTGCCACTGTGCCCCTCCTTTGTGGCCGTACACAGGAAACTTGAGGAGTTTCAGCAGAGTGTCTGGAGGGGAAATAACAACGACCTCATCACCTAAGGAGTTCAGGTAATTTGACACATTGCCAGCATGAAAAGAAAAGAAAAGAAAATGTCAATAATCTGGTAAAAGCGACACAGTTCAGTTCCTGTGAAAAATGGAAAGTAGAATTGGAGCCCAAACGAACTTCAGGGCCTTGCCTACCACCTTTCACAT